ACCATATCCGCGACGCCAGAAACCTAGCGCAATAATAGGCGTCTAGGGACACTAAGTCGTGACTAACTCCGTGCGGTACCTGCAGCACTGGTTATCTCACAAACTGATTTCGCATAAAATATGCGATAGTTGTAAGAACTCGACCTACATTACTGTATTTAGACAGACCAAGAGTTAAAGATCTTAAAAATTATAAGTCTTATATGCGCGTATTAAAATAAAATGATGAAAAGCACCTTTCGCCCTCCCTCGATTGCGTGCACTACCTCCGCCACCACGAATCCCAGCACCACTACTTCCATCACCACTATACTAGGAAAGACCCACGGTTTTGGCCACCGCAGAGTCTACTTCACCTGAGGATGACTGAGACGAAACACATCTCGTACTATCGATGGTGGTGTGTCTTTCCTAGAGCAGTGGTATCAGAAGTGTCGGTGCTGGGATTAGTGGTAGCGGGGATAGTGCACACAGTTGAAGTAGGGTGTAGGCCTAATGGATTTCCGGAAAGTAACGCCTGATTGTATTAATTATAGAACAACGTGGTACGTGGTACGTGGTAGAGCCGTGCTGCGGCTATATTAATAGTATAGTTGTAGCATGAATAGGTCGGCTCGACCGGGGAAGGACCACGCTCTCACAGAATACCAGCGTAAAATAGCAGCTTGATACTGTTGTGTTTCGTATGGCGAGTGTAGAGAACCAGAGACCCATTTTACTGGAAAAGAGGCATTCCATCTTAGTCCTCACGGGTGACGACGCATCTGCATTTTGATTCTTTATTGAGGATAAATGTAGATGTCTATGGGTCACAGCAACCACTTACCATCAGGTGGACTGTGTGCTTGTTTGTCGCCCTATCCTATAAAAAAAATTACATATCGTTTAAGGGGTTTCGTAACGGCATTTCTCTTCTCCTTAATCAGCTCGCTAAAATTATTTAATGAGCGTAGGCTTCTCACAGTGTGGAAAGGGTTTGAGATAATAATCAGGCTTGGCTTGGGTGGCGGGTTCAGCAACACCGATCCCGGACCACTTTTGACGCCCGTCCCAGTCTGGGTGTTATAGTTTTGGCGCAAAGGGATGATAATATCACCATCTACCGATATTCATGAGATCTTTCTGACATTTCCACGTGGCAACCACGAAAAGAAATGAGGTGATATATTCCGCCACCGTTATCACCGATGCAGCCCTTCCTAAGTCCACTGCTGAACATGGGTATGAAAGAATACTAAAAAACTCGGGCTTGAGCCTCCTTCACCCAAAGACATCCTGTATATCTTACCAGGTCGTCACTCTCATCTAGCGGATCTGATCGACAAGGAAGCATCCTTTCGTCGCCACCGTTACCGTACCGTTACAACCTATTAAAGTCCACTGTTGGACATAGGTCCATAGATCGCCTCATAAGGGGATATATGCCATGCTTGGCAAGTGGGTTGGCAACCGCAGTTTTTTATTTTTAGTGAATATTCAGAGGACGCTGCTGCCCATTTCCTGATTGCCAGGGTTTTAATTTTTTTGCGCGGAACCTTAATTCTTTTTCTATTATTAAAGTAGCCCATGTTACGCCTACGATTACCAGCTATCTGCTAATGAAAATTGTCATAATCGATCCCGCCATTTCGGAGATTAACCGGAACAAACAGACATCAGACAAAAACTTTAAAAATTGTTTCTTTGTTATGAGTACCGTTTATACTTTTATATGAATTTACTAAAAAGCTGTTATTTCGACATTACAAACAGACACTTCAATTTTATTTATTTGTATAGTTATCGGCATTTATATATGTATGTATATCTTATTTATCCTAGTGGCAGTTCAACTTGATGTCACCCTCCACATTATTTTCACTTGAAAGGCCGTTTGGCATGCATTGACAAAGCCGACAACGGTGCACGCGAGCGCAACAACGATTCACTGGTCTCGCTCATTTGATCACTGTAATTCATTTATGCGAACATTACGGTCTAGTACGCTAGTTCATTATTAAGAGTAGGTCATTCAACGATCATTATAATTATAGCCATTTTGCTGCTATGAGCAGACGTATACGTTATGTACCTACAAACTGGTGGGGAGACTAGTGATAAAATATAATCATAAATAAAAAATTAAAACCGAACAGTCGTGATAGCTCCGGGGACTAGCGTTCGCTGTAAATTTCACAGTACGCGAGCAATTCGGGTTCGATCCCCGCCGTCACCAATGAAATTGTTCAAAACATCAAAACATCGAGAGAAATTGATAAATAAGAAAAAAATATATTTCGAAGACATGTGAAGTTCGCCAATACGCATTGGGGCAGCGCGGCGGACACTTCCTTGCCTTAAAACCCTTTCAGAAATTAAGGCCTGTACCCAGCTGTGGGACGTATATATGCTGTAACTTTAACTTTTGAACTTTTTATAAGCTAAGTTACAAAAAAACAAAGGTTCTCGCTTTGCTATGCACAATCGGATGAAGTGATGACTTGCATGCAGAGAGACGTTGAGGCTCATGTTACACCATTGGATGTGTGGTGACTGGAATGGATGATGATGAAGATGATGGAAGTAATTTTTTCATTCGTTACATCCTACCAAAAGAAATGGCTGAATAGACCACCCCATAGATTTTTTCATATTAGGGATTGCCATAGTTGCCACGCTTGACAAGCAGGTTGCCAACTTGCCAACAACATTTTCCCGATAACAACTGCGTTTGCCAAGTGTAGTATAACATTTAACATTCCTTTGCTGAGTAACGGACAAACTTTTTAAAACCGCTTCATTTTTGATTGTCTCGTTGGTCTACTAGTCTTTGGCGCGACTGCTGGTAATATGGTCCCGGGATCGAATCCCGGGTCGCGTCAAAGGCAGTTCATCATATCATCATTACAGTCAAAAGTCCACTGCTGAACATAGGCCTCCCTCATTGATTGTTTACAGCGGGGATTTTTTCATTATTCTTCAGACATGCAGGTTTCCTCACGATGTATTCCTTCACCGCCGAGCACGTGGTAAATCAAAACTTAAAACTGCAATTAACGATTTAACTTCAGCTTGTAGAAACACCCAATTCTTACTTCTTCAAACTGAAATTTCTGGTATGCTGTTACATTTGTTATAGGTACTTGAAAATAATATTTTAAAATAATATATAAGACGAATATCTAAATTTTACCATACATAACTCTCAACAAAGTCGATGTCGCATAACTTCTTCATGGCTTAATGAACAGGGAAAGCGTTGCTAACTCAAGTCATACTTGAAGGCAGTTGCAGACTTGCTTAAGTGATTTTGTTTTAATTGAAATTTTGGTACTTAACTGTATAATTACCCCAATTTAAATGCACAAATCACGCAGTGTTTTTCCGTAAAAACCCATGTTGCAGCTATATTATAGTTGTAGAACGAATGGGTCGGCTCGATCGGGGAAGCACCTTATTCTCAGAGAATACCAGCATGAAATATTAAATAGCATGAATATTAATGCTGGTTTTTCGTATGGTGAGTGTAAAGAACCTGAGACCCTTTTTATTGGAAATGAGGGGCATTCCATCTTAGTCATCAGTGGTGACAACGCATCTGCATTTCGGTTCTTAATCAAGGATAAGCAATTCACTGATACTTGAATATAGAGTGATAATATTCTGGATTTAAGAACTATCTATCGTTATATCTAATCATTGACGTAAATCGTATGTATATAAATATGTTTTTAAACATTTATATTCACTTTTAACCACGGCTTTAATGTTTATTTTATTACTAGTTGTTCCGCGCGACTTCACTCGCGTGTTAGGGTTTTTATGTTTACGCGGAACCCTAATTCTTTTTCTAAAATAAAAGTAGCCTAAGCTACTCCTTATAGCATCAGCTATCTGCCAGTGAAAGTCCCGTCAAAATAGGTCGGTCCAGCCATTTCGGAGATTAGCCGGAACAAACAGACTGTCTGACAGACAAAAATTTTAAAAACTGTGTTTTTGTTATAAGTACAGTATATACTTTCATATGCATTTAGTAAAAATCTGTAATTTTGACATTACAAACAGATTTTTTTTTATAAAATATACTTATAATAAAAACTATCTTCAAAAACTAAAAATATTTAAATAATTGCCATACAATAAACCTCTGAAATCGGTGTTAAGATATAGTATATCGAAGAATTGCTCCAACTTCAAAATATGTCTATGGGCCACAGCATCCACTTAACATCAGGTGGACTGTGTGCTAGTTGGTCACCTTATACTATAAAAAAATTATGTTACCATTATGCAATGTCCTCGAACCTCGGAAAAGACTGCATCAAATATGTGAACAACACGTCCGCGTGACGAGTGTGGTGGCAGCAGTTTCATAATATTTATTACAAATGCTGTCATAACGTGCTCGCGCATGCATTTGGCGTTCCCTTGAATCGTCAGCACGCACTCAGTATATGTTCTTATTTTTCGCTGACAGTTTTTAAACTTTTTTACGTTTTTTACAAAAATAATTTATAAAATTATATACATTTATATGTATGTATATAAATTCTTGCTTTATTAAACTAAAAAAATACACATGGTAACTCAGGGGTCGCCGTAAATTTCAGTGTATACAAGCAACTCGTGTACGATCCCCGCCAACACCAATGAATTTGTTAATTGCAATTTTAAGTGGTGATTTACCACGTGCTCGGCGGTGAAGTGAAAACAGTTGAAGTCTACATGTCAACATGCTCTGACATCATGGCAAAGATTTCCTTGGCCTAAAACCCTTTCAGAAATAAGAGGAGGCCTGTGCCCAGCTGTGAGAGGTATATAGGCTGTAACTTTGCTTTAAAATACTTTAAAAACCCATTAAATGCTCACCTACGTGCTATAACATGGAATGTTGCAGCGCTGATTTACAATAAGACCGAAGCGTACAAAATGTGCTTAAAATAAAAATAAAATTTTAAATTCCTAAATTCAAAATAACCCATCTTCCCTTATTTAAAATAACGAAATACTCTATGTTTCAGGCGATCCATGACGAACGCCTCAACAACCGTGTAGACTCGATGTTGCGAGAAGGACTTATAGAAGAACTTTTGAACTTTCACGACAGTCATAACAAACAGAGGATTAAAGACGGCAAGTAAGTAGAAAGTTTTCACATTTAATATATGAATCGTGTGCAAGTGTGCGTGTACCGAACACACAAGTACACTAGCACACCTACAAAAAGGATTTTTCAATGACTTCTACATCTCCATTTCCCGCCAAAACCGAATCCCAATTATTTTGCAAGTGTTAACCTTTGATTTCCTGCAAATCTTACTGGCTCTTCACTCTATCTAGTGGAGGGATGGCCCTACTTTTCGCTTACCAGTAGGAGGTTGCCACACGAAAACCTTTCTTACTAATCGGTTGTCGGTTCTTCGTGCCACGCCCACTGTGATGACGTCAGTACCTAGTTAGAATCACAGTGCACAGTTGCTTAAGCCGTCTCCTCTTTGTATTTGCTCCGTGTATATAGCTACTCGTATATATAGTTAATGATTGCAGGTGGCTCAGAACCGTGCTTTGTAGCATTCCTAGGGGGAGGCCGATGTTCAGCAGTGGACTTGTGAAGGGCTGTAATGGTCGATACTAATCGTCACTTCTCTGCCGTTGATATCAAGTGTCACAACAGTCTTGTCTCTTCCGTGTAAGACTTTATACGGGTCCGTGTATGGAGCTTGAAGTGGACGTCGGACGGTGTCGTCACGGAGCGAAACGTGTGTAGACGTCTCCAAATCTTTAAACATAAATGAAGATGGTCGGACGTGATGACCGGAAGGAACGCGATGCACGGCTTCTATGCGCCGTCTTAGTTGAGGGACGAAATCAATTATGTCAAGTGGAGAAATTACGTTATCCGATGGTACAACAAGTTCGCCAGGTAATCGAAGCAGTTCAACATAAACAAGTTCGGCTGCTGAAGATTTCAGATCTTCTTTGAGATCCGACCTCATACCGAATAGAACGATAGGCAAGGCCTTTGACCATGACTCATTGCTGCACATCAGGGCTACTCGATCATACCATTCGCGCATCGATGATATCCCGTGATACGGGTTCGTTTAGTGGCACATAGATGAATGAGACATTGGAAAAGTTTTGACTCAAATTAGCATCCCTGATCTGTTGTTATAATGGCAGGAACGCCGAACCTAGAAATCCAACCTGCAATAAAGGTATCGACAGCATCTTCCGCCGTCATTGAAGTAATCGGCTAAACCTCTGGCCACCGCATGGTCTGGTCACGGACACCGCCACACGGACGCCATAAGCCATTTATCTTGAGGACCATCTGTAAAGGGAATGTCCAAGAACTTTTAGAAGGTCTGGCTATATCACATCGCACCATATCCTCAAACTCTTTCTTTGCTGCGACAAGTTTATGAGGTGCCAAACGACGAGGACAGCATGAAACTGGAGGTCCCTCAGTGGCTTTGATAAAGTGCAGCGTATTATGCTTCACAACTTTAGGAAGACCAGGAGGGCGCGTAAGTCCGGGAACTCAAAAAGAACATGCGCGAAGATTGAGTTGCTACATGCCACAGATTTCACGCTAACCTGATTGATATTACTTAATGTAGCAGACACAGAAAATATTGTATTGCCATTGTAATTTTGTATATAATACGTTTATGTTGGCAGTCTGGCAAAAGTTTGTAACAGCTGAGAAAATCAGAACCAATGATCGGAGTACTCACATCCGCGATGACGAAGTTTCAATGAAAATCTCGCCTTAATCCAAAATTTAGATGGAGGGAGATGCTGCCATAGGTCTTAATGAAGCTGCCGTTTGCTGCGCTAAGGTCACAATCATTACTTGTATAGCGGCCCTTTAGAAGATGCCGAGGGAAACAACAGAGATCTGAGCCAGCATGTATTAAATACTGGTATTTAGATGTCTGGTCTGTAACAAAAAGTTGGCGGCTGGCTTGAGCACAATCAGGTGCCGGTTCTACTGACTGTTGTTGCAGTCATCCTATTGGCTAGCAGTCTAGTTACAGGGGCTTACACAATTAGTGGCTTTTTGTTGAACTTTTTATGGCACCAACATAATTTAACTGACTTACCAGGTGAAGTGGTACGTGAGTGCCACCGGTTAAAAGATGTGGATCTACTACGTGAGCGCTCAGGTCAGTCATTGGCCAATTCGGTTACTTGTTGCACTAAAACTTCGAGAGTGGATGATGTTGATGGAGTTTCACACGAGAAAAAAGAATTTCTAGGTTCAGCAATCTCAAAAACTTTATCAGCTAGTTCTGAAAACTTATCTAAGCCAAGGTCAGTCTGTGAGGCCAGGATAGCCTTAACTTGTTGTTGAAGTCGACCTAAATATATAATTTACACGTGGTAGAGCCATGCTGCAGCTATATTAGTAGTATAGTTGTAGCACGAATGGGTCGGCTCGACCGGGGAAGTACCACGCTCTCAAAGAAAACCAGCGTAAAATAGCAGCTTATCGCTGCTGTGTTTCGTATGGTGAGTGTAGAGAACCGGAGACTCTTTTTACTGGCAAAGAGGCAATCCATCTTAATCCTCACGGGTGACAACGCATCTGCATCTTGAGTCTTTATTGATGATAGACGTAGATGTCTATGCGTCACAGTAACTATTTACCATCAGGTCGACTGTGTGCTCGTTTACCACCCTATCCTATATAAAAAATATATATACCTACATAAGAGAGTCTAAGAGCATTCACATTTTTAAGAAACAACTAAACATATTTTAATCAAAAAAACGTATCATAATGATGACGATTATTTGTTTGACTATTTTTAAATTTTAACTATCAAATTTATTGAATAGAACCACAAAACTTTATCTATCTTATTAATTTTTAGACATAATAATTTACTCGTTTTGACATTATATTATATTATTATTTAGTGAATTATTAATATGTTAGTATTGCAAATATACAAATAGGATTATATTATGTTAATGTAATTATCAGAATTTTCCATTTTAATTATTAAAAAAAAATATTGTATTTAATTAATTTGCACATCGGAAGGTAGAATATTGCTGTATTTTTGTTAAATTATTAAGACTTATTGTAACCCATACATCGCAAATGAATAAAATGAATTTGAATTTGAACCATAAATTTGGAATATAAAAGGTAAACAGTTACTTACAGTTTTTACACCAATTATCGTAATGAAACTGATTGTCCAGTTATTTGAATAATACGCTGCCCTCGATTCCGCAGTTTGTCACAATATAATTTAACATTAATAATTTTGTACATTACAAATTATTAAGAATAACTCAAAAACTTTTAGTCAGACCTTGATCAAATATATGGGACCACATGAGAAGCACCAGCTTTCAAATAAAAACAGAATCATCGAAATCGGTTCACCCAGAATAAAGTTATGAGGTAACACACATTAAAAATATATACAGTCGAATTGAGTACCGTCTCCTTTTTGAAGTCGGTAGAAAAGTAAAGTGCTAATGTCACAGGAATATCCTTTTTAATGTTCCGTACTAGGTTTACTGCAATTTAGGACTTAATGACGCACTATTTACACTTTTGCGTTGTCGTAATGCATCATAGAATTTTATACCTGCCAGCAGGAATATCAGCCCGGCCAAATGACGCCGCACTGAGAGCGTTGTGAACTTATTGCTTGCTCGCGAAGATTACAACCTCGCTGTTGCAGTAGTAAATTTACTTGGACGTAAATTTAACTGCCCAAGTGCCAGGCACCAATGTAAAATCTTCACAATCACGTCGGTTGGTCACCGATATAGGGTTTTGTGTAGCGACCTCTGAGTTTATCCAAATAAAATAACATACGAACTTTACAATTGCTATTTAATATAATATACGAACAAGTGAAGAAGGAATTACAAATACAGGGGTGATTAGGTGAGAGTAATTTTTGCAGTCTTATATTTCTAATCTTAACGACGCCATAACAGAATACAGATTAATAATTTACAGAATACAGAGTAATATTGTAACACATAAAACTATAATATTATGCTATTTCTTAGTCTTGGATACGTGGCATTCCGCCACAACATGTATATCTTTAAAGGTCAACATACGCCCCATAATGATCGCTTTTTATAATAATTGTAATTCTTTTTACTATCATATTTTCACCAGCCAACGGAAATCCGTTCGCTGCCAACACCCAAAAAGGGGATTTGAATAGAATTAATTGAGCAAATAATTGGCGCTATTTAGCAAAAAATTCAATCGTCAGGCTACAATGAGGCAAGAACCTATACTTTTTGGTTTAAACGAAACAAAGGGCAATTTTTTACACGTGAGGCCAGGATAGCCTTAACTTGTCGTTGAAGTCGACCTAAATATATACTTTACACGTGGTAGAGCCATGCTGCAGCTATATTACTTGTATAGTTATAGCACGAATGGGTCGGCTCCACCGGGGAAGGACCACACTCTCACAGAATACGAGCGTAAAACAGCAGCTTAACTAACTAATAATACGTCCGCAGGCAATGGCTAAAAATTAAAAAGTAAGGCTAAAGATATTGATCGAAAGGTATGTCTAAGATGTCATATTATGTCACATTCATACACAAAAGTTTAAAAACCATTGACTTACGAGTATATAGTACTAGCGTAAACAAACTATACTTATTGTGATACAAGGAAAAATACAAATAGAAGTAAACGAAAATTTAGGTTTCGTTTTCTTCAGTTACTTTAAAACTATCATCTATTTTATTGTTTACAAGTAGGAAATTTAGAAGCCAACAGACGATTACATGCAGCCATATTGTGCATATGCAACTTTTATATTTTGCTTACACAAAAAATCTTTCTCTTCATCTACTTGTAAAAGGTTACTATACGTGGACCTCTCCAGATTTTTTGGCTTACGCTTGGCAGACAGTCGATGACAGTGCCAAATTTCTTACACCTTTGACACTGTTCCTCGTCGCCAATCTGTGTATTTGGCGTCTGGTGTAAACGAGGTGATTATACCGCCATATTTAGGAAACTGTGAAGTATTTCTAGCTTTCCCTATAGTCGTTTCTTACAACACCCACGAGACGAAATGGGGTAGTGGCGAAATGGGGTAGAGACGAAATGGGGTATACCTTGGTAGA